AATTCAATTTTATTTGTATAGCGCCAATTCATAACAGAAGTTATCTCAGGACACTTTTCAAATAGAGCAGGTCTAGACCGAACTCCTTATAACATTTACAGAGACCCAACAGTACCACCATGAGCAAGCCTGAAAAATGCCAGCTAACTAGCTAAATTAGCTAGCTGGCTTGCCTTTTCCTAATATTAACTTTGTAACTAGCTATTTAACAATTGATGGAGATTAGTTAGCTAGTGTTTTGGTCTTGTCAGTAATTAAGCCATATCTACTAGTACTTCCATTATCTGCTCCGTGTTGAATGTTACTGATTAAGACTATTAAAAAACGTCTTCTGGATGCAGTCTAACGAGTTATATTAAATGCTGACTGTGTCAAATGTGTGTTCTCTCAACATAGATTAGCCTAGCACATAGCAGTGCAGGAACAAAGAAAGACGACCGAGGTTCTAACCAAGGCTTGCTCATTGGGGCACAGAGCAAAAAGGGGGGAGACTTTGGTTCCCCAGCCTGAATTGACTCAAACCTGTGACCTTACTGCAACATGTGTGTGTGGCTGGTCTTCTCCATAGAGGGAGTCCTGGACTGGCTGTAGGAGAGCAGTGGAAAAAAAGGAGGACTGAGAGATACAGGGGGGGCAGGGGGGACTGCAGGGGACAAGGGTTTAGGTGGGGGGACTGGGATCCTCCATCTAATGCCTCCATGATCTCCATGTTGTCAAGGGGAGGGAGAAAGGGAGGGGCGTCACTGTGGCTCACAGCTTAATTACTTCAAGCAACAATAAGTGTCTCACTTGTAATGGAAGGAAGACAGGGGGAGGTTGAGTCTCTGGGAGGAAAACAGATCCTATCTGAGGAGCAGGCGTGAGCTCTCGGTTCAGGACCATTACTTCACAAAAGGTGGAAAAATCTTTTGCTGCAGATGAATGAAGTTACAACAGGAAAGCTTTGGCTGTTTGTTGCCGCTGCTTGATTGGACTCTTGGGGACTGTTAAAGACCTCATCGCAGCTGGAACATTTTCCTTATGGAGGATTGATTCTGACAGCTGCAGGTGAAGGAAATGAATGCACTGACAGAATAACGGACAAACACAGAGGAAATGTGGACTGACTGGTGAGGACTTGGAGTCAAACTTGCCAGAAAGTCAAGGGATATAAGGAAACAGAGAGTGGTGAGTGGGGCAAATATCTGACCTGACAAGAGTTTTACACTGTAAAGTCATGATCAATTCAAATAAATCAACTCATCTTTTCTAATTAACTCTATGTAATCAGTCAATTTCAAGCCAACATAAGACATCTAGTTACTTTCAAAACCTTGTCAGAAGTTACACAGTGCATGGTTTGACTGATCATACACTTTACTCATCAGGTTAAGTTGTTTGGGGACATTGTTAGTTCATTAGAATACTTCCCACCGTGCATATCACTTTTTTCTAATTTGCAGACACAATGAGGCTTGTTCTGTACATGATTTATCAACAATGCACACTACTGAAACCACTCCTCCCAACTCTTTCCTAAAGATTATGTGAGTATAATGTATTATTATGTATTAGCACTGATCCTGGTTTGAGTGATACTTGCAGCTAAAACTATAATTATTAGGTAAATACTGGTAAAAAGCATGACTGAAAATAGCAACTCTGTCAAACAAGTTGCTGTCTGAATTTAATTTCAGTAATCTGAAATACAGATTAGCTGAATCAGCAAATTCTACTTTGGAACAAACTATTTAGTTGTAATTTAAATTGAACTTAATATTTCAAAACAATCTTTTTTTTTTTCTTCTTGCTGACACTTTTCACAGTCTACTAAACCGAAGCTCACTATTTTATCATACTGTCACTGTGTGACAAAACTAATGGTGCAACTGGGCCTTAGTTGAATATGTTCTAGGGATGTCTACTACTCGCTGAGTGGGTTATTTAAGGACATTTATATTTGTGAAAAATTAGGAATTCCACTTGTCCCACCCTTTTTTACTGAGGGATATGAACAGCATGAATAATACAAATTGGATTGATCTTTGAGGAGCTTTAACTGCTGGTCAGCCCCACCAACACATCATCAACTTGTCACAGATATGCTTATATGGGTGTGTATGTCAGCCGATAAGTAACAAGAAATATTAAAAAATATGTCATTTAGAAACTGTCTCCATTACAGAGAGCACAGAAGAACACTGTAAAATATTCTATCCACTATATATCAAGGTCTTTAAAGCTGCACTAATCAGTATTTTCATATTAACCATGGGTAATTTGAAAGGTGTGGCTCATAGTAACGCCATCCCAATAAAGAATAGAAAAAGTTACCCTCAGCTCAGATTTTTAGCATTTTGTAGCTCAGTGCTTTAGCTTACACCGCACAACATGACTATACTGGTTAGTCATCATCCAGTCAAACAGCAAACTCAGAGACTACTGATGAAAATACGTACATTTTGTAAAGATCCCCTCCAGACATGTATCGAGACACATAAAGAAATAGTCAGCTTGGAACAATAAAGTATGTAAATGGTAAATGGACCAGTATAGCACCTTTCTAGTCTTCAGACTACATGCAGCATTCACCCTTTCACACACACACATTCACACAGTGATGGCAAAGTCCATCGAACAACTAACAGATTCATTCACATTCACACACCGATGCAATTTGTATCTTGCTCAAGGTTACTTTGATATGTGGCAGGAGGAGCCAGGGATCGAACCAACAACCTTCCGATTAATGGATGACCCACTCTACCTCTGAGCCAATAAACAAAACAAGTATCATTTCCACATTAAAATCCTAAAAAGGCATTATTCAATTGCTGCGTTTCCTACTACAGGTATTGAATCGCTGTATATTGCAGAACCTGTGTGAGCATCCGCGTGTATGTGCATGAGACAAAAAGGGGACCAACAAGTAAAACACTGCTTCATAGTGCCAATAACTCCTTAAAAAGTCCCAGTGTGTAACATTTAGGAGAATATATAGTCAGAAATGGAATATATTATATATTAATAAATACAGCTTTTTCTCACAGCGAGGCCAGTTAGCTGACAGTGTAATTGGGCGACTGTAAAGAATCAAACTGTGTTACAGTCAGGAGCATGCTGATGTTATGACTTCTAAAGTGCAACTCACCACAAATCAAAGACTGAATAAACCTGTAACTACTGAACCATCAAGCAGCATGAGCAGAGTGGGAAGCTATTTGTCAGAGACTAGAGAAAGACAGCTCTCCGGCTGCAGTGCAGTCCTTCCACCTTCAGGTAGACACAGGGACTGAAAATGTACTCCTATAATCTGAATTATTTCAGTGCTTTAAGTTGGTCATTAGTCAGCCAAACCACACCTACTGACTGAGGAGAGCCAGGTGTCTCTTCTCCCTCTCTCCCCCTGTGGTTTTAAGAGCTCCACAGGCCTGTCATGCCTTTGTGTCCAGACGCCGACGTGCGTTTGCAGTGCAGACGACTCGCAGCCACCAGCAACTGTTCCTGCTGTGTGTGTCTGTGTGTGGCTGTGTGTGGCTGT